GAGAGAGAGAGAGAGAGAGAGAGAGAGAGAGAGAGAGAGAGAGAGAGAGAGAGAGAGAGAGAGAGAGAGAGAGAGAGTGTCGAGCTCAGGGCTCCACGACACGACGCAGGGTGCTTCACGATATGGCGTACGCGCTAGAGGGGCAAAGTAAAATTGCACGTGACATCGACGAAAGTTGGCCTAGGCGCTTCGCACGGACGGTTCGCGACAGCCTGGGGCACCGGCAGCACTGTCGCGGACTGAAACAGCCCGTTGAAACAGTAAAAACGCGCGGCGCTCTACAGCGCTAAGATGTGGTCCTTCGGTCCGGTAGCACCCAATGGCCTGGATCTCGACGCGGTCTTAAGATCTTAAAACTGCGTGGAGATCCAGGCCGTTGGGTCCTACCGGACTGACGGCCCAAATCCTAGATTTGTTACATCGTTCCGCAGATCTGGGGCGTGGGCCGGTAGGACCGACGACGGCCCAGATCGGCGATTTGTTACATACTGCGGGATTAGCAATTTCTATAGTGTAGGGATAGAGCCTCCTAAAATGAGTTGCTAGGAGTCCCCAAAATCACAAATCATTTGTAAGACCACAATTGACGACCATGTTTTTTGAGAACTATTGAAGAAATTCAAGAGAATTTAAGGAGAGGTTAAAAAACTATGAATGACTACTCACCTCTTTTCGAATGCTCAGAACCCCTAGACTTCCAAACAAAACTCTCTAAAACTGTCCAACACTGTCTTATTCCCTGTCGAGCTTTCCCAGGCCTCACACCCCCACTTGGCTAGGTTACCGAGCAACACGACTTGCCCCAGCTCTGGCCAGCGTCATCCCAACAGCTACCCTTGGCCGTCCCTTGGAATGCCCACCCCAAAGCATCCCCAGATCTCTCTACCAGGCCTCACGCTCCTGCAATCAGCAGGTTACAGGGCAACACCCACGCACCGTCCAGTGTCGTTCTGGCATCGAACAACCGCAGATCCATGAACGCATCAGTATCAAACAGCCTAAAGCGAGTTGCTAGAAGTCCCCAGAATCCTAAAACATTCTCTTTTTTTTAACTAAATTCAATGTTATTTGAGGTAAATTTGGGAGACTATCCACCAGCGAAAATCCCAGCAATTGTCTTCAAACACTCTAGAGCGCCAGAGGGTCCTAACACCCTCGAAGTCCTCAGACACTGTCTTATTCTCTACCAAGCTCTACCAAGCCTCTCACCCCCACTATAGGTTACAGGGCAAGGCAACTCACCCCAGCTCCGGCCAGCATCGTCTTCGATAGGAACCCTTGATTGTCCCGTGAAATGCCCCCCCTAGGCATTCCTAAATCTCTCTACCAAGCCTCAAGCTCCTGCTGTCAACTAGTTACCGGGTCGAGCCCCCAACACTGGCCAGCGTCGTTCTGGCATCGAACAACCGCAGGTCCATGAATAAAACAACATCAAAAATCGCCTCAAGGAAATTGCAAGGAGTCCCAAGAGCCTAAAAGCGTTCTACCACAACGACCGAGAACAATCACAACCTCTAGAGGATAGCCATATCCAAACACATCGCCCGTTGGTTATTTTTTACGAGATAGGACATGAGTGACATACAACAAATTGAAAGCAAAAAATCCGAACGGAAACCACCGACTAGCAAACTTCCCACGCAACAATTGGAAAAAACGAAGTCCTTGTGATCAGTCCTCGAACCTAAATGCGGCTGGTCTCATAACCCCCTATGCTAGGGTTACAGGGCACCACCATGCCCCATTACCGACCAGCCTGGTATAGACGGCAAGGAGTGCCTTCCTCCCTCGATAACTCCCATTAGCCGCACGCCCGTAAGTACAGGGATAAAACCCCAACAACGGCTGCGTCGAACGTGGTGGTTCTGCCTTCCTCCCTCGACAGAGCTCCCCAAGCCTCACGCTCCCCCAGGTTACAGAGCAACGCTTCAGCACCGGCCTGCGTCGTCCCACCCACGTCCTTCTGACCTACTGACGAAGACTAAGGCCCTTCCCCTGTTACACCCCCCTACGAACTTCCACCCGTCCGTGCGAATAATCTGCTTCCCTTAATTGTATGTTTTTTGGCTAAAAAATACCTAGTTGGCAATTTGCAGCGTGTTGGATGATACGTGATATCTCTTTCGTTATTTTGTCTATCCAGGACCAAGAGCCGAGTCCCGCTTGTTGAAATTCTTGATTTACGACAGTTGATCTCCGCAATCCGGGGTTAGAAATGAAGGATACAGGTAAGTGGAACTTGGCCCCAGATCTTTCAGTGCTGATGGAACGGGGCTTGAAAGAATTGACTGGGGTAGTTAACCCTACCCTGTCCGTGTTAAACCACCCGTACTTGACCCAGCTATCGGCCGCAGGCGTTTCACGTTAACGCGCCGCGACCTGCGGGCTTTGGGGTACCGGACCACAATGGCTGAAAGCGCCAGCCAAAAGGAAAATGAAACGGTGCCCTGGCGGGTTCGGCAAAACTTGGCACGCAGGGGGTATCTTGGCTCGTCATTTATAGCTGGTCCAAGTACTGGTGGTTTAAGGAAGCGATGGGAAAAGAGGGTAATTGGGCAGGTACAGGCTAAGAAAGAAGTGACAAAGTTGCGGGTACACGCTTAGAAAGAAGTGAGTGACAGTGAATAGAGACTATAGTTAACCCTACCTTTTCTGTATTAAAGAAGCAAGTGGGGAAGAGGGTAGTAGGACGGGGGGTACAGGATCAGAAAGAAGTGACAATGAATAGACTATACTACTAGAACTAACCGTACCTTGACTGGAGTTAACCCTACCTTGTCCGTGTTAAAGAAGCGAGTGGGAAAGAGGGTATTTGGGGGGGGGGTATGGGCTCAGAAAGAAGTAGCAGTGTGCATGCACCCTTGTTCTCTGATAGGTGGTACATGATCAGAAAGAAGTGACAGTGAATAAACTATACTCCCAGAATTCACCCTACCTTGTCCGTGCTAAAGAAGCGAGTGGGAAAGAGGGTATTTGGGCGGGTACGGGCTCAAAACGAAGTAACCGTGCGCATGCGGCCTTGTTCTGTGATAGGTGGTTATGAAACGGTATTCACTAGTTCGCAGTAGCTGATGCAGTTCCCAGGGCTCGATCCGTAGTTCCCCATCTTACCTTTGTACAGTATCGGCGTCAACCCGTAGATTTGAACCTGCTACCTGTAGGACCGCCAGTGGTAGGTAGTTCTTTGTAGGTCACAGGGTAGAAGGAATTTGAACCGTAGACCTGTAGGGTAGGAGTCTAGATTGTTTAGAGGTCGTAGCTGTAGACTCCCTGAAGGGTCAAGGTCGTAGCAGCTACTTACCTGAAAGGGCAAAGTTGTAGCTGCTACAGTACCGAAAGGCCAAGTTAGAGGTTTCTAGAAGTGGCCTTTCGGAGTGAGCCTGCGTTAAGCAGAGGCAAGTGGTCAAGTGGTGGTAGTCCACCTAGTACAGTCAGCAGTCCCAGTCCACCCAGTCTGGTCCAGTCCAGCAAGTACCGTCTGGGACTGTGTGCACGATGGGCCAGGGGTACAGGGCAGACCAACGCAGCACAAAAGTAGAAGTGGTGATAGGTAGCGGCAGCCATAGCTGCCATAGCTTAGTGTAGGGTGTAGAGTGTGTGTGCTGTGTGTGTTCTGAGTGTCGCGTGTGGGACATCCAGGGTGATCCAGAGTGTGAACAGTGAGTTGTTTGAGGCGCACAGTTGCCATAGCCTGTGGAAGCGAACTGTTACGTGGAAGCCATATCTCTGAGTTCTGTGTGGGCGCATGGCGCCAGTTTGTTGTTTTGCTGTTCACGTGCATGAGAAGTGTGAATAAGTCGAGTCTGATTGCACTGGTAACGGAGCAGGTACCCGTTGTTCCACGCGCCGTCGTTTGCAGGCTAAGGCGTCAGAGCTGAGGTGGCCGCTGGAGAAGATAGTCCGCCATAGCGGACCTTTGGTGGAAGAAGACACCGCGCACCCGCATCAAGAGGACCACGACGAAGAAGAAGGTTGAGAGAGAGAGAGAGAGAGAGAGAGAGAGAGAGAGAGAGAGAGAGAGAGAGAGAGAGAGAGAG